GCTGCGCACGCAGCGGCGGCTCGCCGCGGAGAAGGAGAAGCAGGACCAGATTCGGTGCGGCTTGATGGCGCCTCCGCCGCCGAAGATCAAGATCTCCAACCTGATGCAAGCGATGAAGAACGAGGCGGTGGCGGACCCGTCCGCCCTCGAGGCCAAGGTGCGCGCCGAGAGGGCGGCGGCCGTGAAGGACTGGTGAGCGCCTCCGCCTGATCGCCCGAGTCCACAACCCCTCGCAGGTGCGCGCCGAGATGGCGCAGCGCGTCAAGAACCACGAGGAGCGGAGCGTGCGCGCGAGCCGACGGCCTGTGGACGGCGCCTCTTCACAGCTCGCCGTGTGAACAGGAGCGCAACCTCGCGCGCAAGCTGACGCCCGCGCAGCGCCGCGAGAAGAAGCGGCGGAAGATGCTCAACGACCCGAGCGGCGGAGGGACGCCGGTGACGCTCTACCGCATCCACACGGTGCCGAACAAGCAGAAGCTGTACAAGATCGACATCAACGCGCAGCAGAACCACCTCACCGGCGTGGCCGCCGCGCAGTCCACAAGCGGCCGCGAGATCCGCCGAGATCCGCGAGGCTGCGCGAGACCGTAGGCTTGATGCTGCTCGCTGACGAGTGCAACCTTGTGGTCGTCGAAGGCGGGGAGATAGGAGGGAGATAGGAGATGTTAGCAACCGGGTGGTCGTCGAAGGCGGAGTCGCTCTTACGCTATTAGCCTCACCTTGGGACCTGACTCACCCTCCGCGGACCCACACCTCCTCGCCGATGTGAAGCGTGCGACGAGCGGAGAGTGCTGCTCCCTCGTGTCGCTAGGCGGACCGAAGGCGCAGCGGCGCTACCGCAAGCTGCTGCTGCACCGCATCGATTGGACCGACTTTGGCGCGGCGGACGACGACGACGACGAGGACGACGAGGAGGAGGCGCGGCGGCGCGCACAGTCGGAGGTGCGCAGGGCCAAGCCTCCTACCCTTCCGAACTGCTCCTCCCTCCTCCTCCGCCCTCCTCCATCCTCCCTCCTCCTCCTCCCACACCTCCCCCCCCCTGCCCGTCTTCGAGGGCCGCTCCTCCCCCCACCTCCGACCCCTTCCCCGCCCCGTCGCCCGCAGGTGTGCCAGGTGGTGTGGGAGGGGCTCGTCGTTAAGCCGCAGTTCAAGAACTTTCGCGTCGAGGCGGCGCGCTCGAGCGAGGGTGCGCGAGATGCGGATCTCGGCTCAATCTCGGCGGATCTCGGCGGATCTCGGCGGATCTCGCCCCCCAGGCGCGCGCAAGATGCTCGCGGAGCGTGGCTGCGCGCACTACTGGGACATGGCGCGCACCAACGGCGCGGAGGGGGTGCCCGAGGAGGACGAGGACGAGGACGAGGACGAGGACGAGGAGGCGGGCTCGTCGGACGAGGGAGAGGGCGAGGGCGAGGAGGAGCGAGGGGCGGGCGCGGCGGGGAGCGGCGCCGCCGAGGGCGACGCGGCGCGCGACGACATGGAGACCGAGGGGTAGCTGCTGGCGCGCGGTGGGTTGCCGATTGCGCAGGGGGATGCCGCGGACCGCAGGAGTCCTGGGCTCCCACTCCCGTCCCTTTTGCTATCCCTCTCTCCCGCGCCGCGTGGTTGTCCCCTTTACTTTGCGTTGCAGCCACGTCGTCACGCACACCGGTGACACTTGGGGAAGCTTATGGTTTAGTGCTTTCATGATGCTGTATGCGCGCGGATCGCGCGACCGCGTCACCGCGCGCGCGCAGCTCCGCAGGCGACGCAGGTGGGGTGCTGCTCCCCGGATGGCTCAGCGTATATATCCAAAAAAGCCGACGGCTTTTTACCGAAACCGATACCGTCAGCGTGTGCGGTGTGCGCGCCCGCGCGCCGGCCCGCCGCGGAGAGCGCGGTGTTACGAAAAGTGTGTGTGTATCTCAGTCTTGCGCCGACGCTCTCGCGCCGGTCCCTACTCGGCTCTCTCACGCCGATGCCGTCTCTTCCCGTCACGGCGTCGGCGAGGGCAGGCCATAAAAGGCGAGGAGGTCGTTGCCGCAAACACATTCGAGCGTCCCCCCCCGTCCGCAGGGCCTCGTCTCACGTATGACTGCAGAGCTGAGGTGCAGAGGCCGACTAGAAGTTTCCCTGCTCAGCCTCAGCTCAGCCGCGACCCCTCCCCTTCCTCCCCTTCTTGCCCTTGCCCTTTCTACCCTTGTCGGCCTCTGGATCGTCGTCAGCAGCGCCGCTCGCCTCGCCACTCTCCGTCGCCGCCCCCGCCAGAGCCTCCGCCGTCTCGTCGCCGCCTCTGGAACCGCCCCGTGATTTCCCGCCCGCCATCGTTGGCGCAGCCTCCTCACTGGTGGATGTAGTGCCATCGGCGGCCTTGATGGGAGGTGCACGTGGGTGTCAGCTAGAGCCCCTCCCCTCTCCCTTCTCTCCCTCTCTTCAACTCACCTTGGCCTTCACTAGCCTGCTCAGCCTTGCCGCCTCGGCTCTCGCCTGGTTTGCCGCTCGCAGGGCCTGCAAACACAATTTTGGGTACGAGAGGGCATGAAAATCGGCTCGACCGCCAATCTCCTCAACCTGTAGGCCCGCCGCAACGTCCTTCTTGACGTCTGCCGCAAGTTGGTCCAGGGCCGCGCCGCCTGACGTGCTGTTGAAAAGCTCGAGGCTGCGCAGAAGGCAAAGGGTCGAGTTAGGACACTACGGATAAGAGGCATGCTGCACTGTCGCAAGACTATGTCGCGCCTCCCGCCGAGGCGTCTTAGCTGGTGGAGCATGGCTCTTATCTGCTCCGCTTCCCGTGCCGCATGCCGCTCCCGTATCCGCTCGTGTGTATCAGCCTGATCCACAAGGGTTCTGAGCGAGCGGTTCGAGCTTCCCAGTTTCTCGCCAATACGGCTGATGCGTCGCTCGTGCCGCTGCAGCGTCTCGCCCTGCGTGGACATTGTCGCTGATATGCTCTGCAGCTCGGAATGAAGCACGATGGCGGCGGCGGCGCCAATCGCAGTCAGCAAAACGGTGGCCAACGCCACAGCTTTGACTGACCTGGAGTCTGTTGCGGCGGGCGGCTTCGGATTGAGTCGCGGCTCGATCGGTGGTTGGGTTGGCATGTGTATGGTGCTCTGCCCACGCCCCCCGGGCAGTGTTTGCCACGCCGGGCAAACTTGGCGGTTTGCGCGGTATCTACTGGGGTTCACAACGCGTTTGGTCATCCGTGTACGTTCGTCATCGAATGAGTGAGGAGTCTCGACAGAAATGTTACACCAATACAAACTGCAGTGACGAAATCCCCCCCCCCCCCCCCTCCACACACAGTAACTCCGGCTGCGGCGTCCTCCGGCGTGCCCGCACAGAGCTGCGTGGACGTACAACACCACAGAGCTCCCCTAATCCGTCTCGCGCGTGATCGCGAAGCGCAGCACGCACGCTCTAGCGAAAGCGAGAGAGGGAGTGTGTGAACGCGAGAGGGAGAAAAGAAAGGAGAATTTCAGGAAAAGGTCGCTTCGAGACACATAAATGGCTCGAGATATATCTCTTCACTACCTGTTTTGCATCGAACGTGTCTCCCCGCACGGGCCGAAGCACGCTCCACACCAAGCCCATGTCCCGAATCCAGCCTTGGTTTGGCATGGCATTCGCTGCCCGCAAGCGCGCCCGCACCGCCGGCGAGGACGGCGGATCGGAGAACGAGGCTGTGGCGGTCGCGGATGGCTTCGAGGCGCCCCTCTTTGGCGCGCGCGTCGTCGGCCAGGTCACCACGCTGCCGCTCGAGGGCGAGGACGGCCCTCTGGCAGCGCTCGAGGTGAATGGCGTCGTGAGCGATCGCGCAGGCGACTGGTACGTCACCACTGCTGACTCAGTGCTGCACGTCTCTGCGGCCGGGCGCGTGCGCAGCGTGGCAACCCTGGAAGGCGCCGGCCTCCGCGGCATCGCCATTAGCCCGGACGGCAGCGCGCTGTTTGTGGTAGACATGTTCAACGACAAAATCCGGCGGGTGGAGGTGACGACGTGCGCGGTGACCACGCTTGCGGGCAGCGGCGAGACCGGCAGCGCTGACGACGTGGGCGGCGCGGCGCGGTTCAGTTGCCCATACGACGTCGCCATCAGCCGCGACGGCAGCGCTCTGTTTGTTGCGGACCTTGACAACCACAAGATCCGGCGCGTGGAGGTGGCGACGGGCGCTGTGACGACGGTGGCGGGCAGTACCGTCGGTAGCGCTGATGGCGTGGCCGGCGCAGCGCAGTTCCACAACCCAAGCGGCGTCGCCATCAGCCCGGACGGAAGCGCGCTGTTTGTGGCGGACTACTTCAGCCACAAGATCCGGCGGGTCGAGGTGACGACGTGCGCGGTGACCACGCTTGCGGGCAGTGGCATTAGCGGCGGCGCTGATGGCGTGGGCGGCGCGGCGCAGTTCTACTTCCCATTCGGCGTCGCCATCAGCGCCGACGGCGGCGCGCTGTTTGTTTCGGACTTCGGCAACCAGCAGATCCGGCGGGTGGAGGTGGCGACTGGCGCTGTGACCACGGTCGCTGGCAGCGGCACCGAGGGAAGCGCTGATGGCGTGGGCGGCGCGGCGCAGTTCAAGTACCCAAGCGACATCGCCCTCAGCACCGACGGCAGCGCTATTCTGGTTTGCACAGACGACTCCCTCCGCCAGGTCTGCGTGTCGGCGCCTCCTCCGCCTCCCTCCTTCGCGCCGATTGTGGTGTCGCCCTCGACCCTCGTGGCCGACCTCGCAAAGATGTGGGGCGATGCGACTTTCCCCCAGGGGATGGTCACTTTCCTGGTCGGCGACGACCAGCAGCGCCTCGAGAGCGTCACAAAGGCCATCCTCTGCATTCGGTCGGTATTCTTTCGGACCATGTTCGGCATCGGCATGAAGGAGCGCGACGCCGGCGAGGTCACGGTGCGCAACACCGACCTCGCTACCTTCACCGCCCTCGTCCGCTACCTCTGCACCGACCAGCTCGACCTCGGCGAGGAGGGGGGCGGCAGGGCGCAGCGCGCGCTCGACCTGCGGCAGCTGGCGCAGATGTACCAGGTGCCGCGCCTCGAGCTGCTCTGCGCGCAGGCGCTGCAGGAGAGCGTCGGGCCGGCGAGCGCCGTGCCGCTGCTCGAGGCGGCGCACGCGACGGGCGACGGGCGGCTCCTCGCGCAGTGCCGCCGCTACGTGGCCGACAACGCCGCCGAGGTGCGGGCGAGCGGCGGCGTGGAGCAGCTGCGCGACCTCGGCGTGGCCAAGGGGCTGCTCGGCGACGCGCTCGACCAGGTGGCGGAGCTGAAGGGGACGGTGGCGGCGCGCGACGCCCTGCTCGTTTGCGAACCAATGAGAGTGTGTGACAGGGACTGACAGCGTGTACTGGTGTACAGGAGAGATTTCTCTCTTGTACAGGTGGAGCGCTCCTGCGACACGTCCCTACGCAAGTACGTCAGTTCGCACGCACTCTCTTCACTGCCTGTTTCGCATCGAAAAGTGTACCCCTCGATTGGCCAAAGCACAGGTTTCGATCCGGGCCACCGCAAATTTTGATCAGCAAATTTCGAGGGGCGGACGGACGCAAATTTTGAGGTACAATACATTTTGATTGTCAAAACGCGTCCGTCTTGCCGCAGCGTGGATAGAGCATATAGGCGGCGAACACCCAGACGCGACACCCCACCACTCAACTGGACGCGTTCACTTCCCCAGACACGGCTTACGCGCGGGGGCGGGCGCTCAAAAAGGCCATCGCATTGCGCTCTCCCGCGACCGACCGCGCGCACCTCCCGGCTCTGGCGCCGATCACTTCTAGTGCAGGCGGCCGCCGGATGACGCTGCTCTTTGATGGCGAGCATGAACGGCCTGCGTTCCTGCTCGAAGACCCGTCTCAGGCGCCTAGTTGTCTGGTGCCTAGTTGTCCTCCTTCTTCTTGGCCAGGTTGAGCGCGCGACGGGCCCGCGACGATGCCTTGGCCGGCGCGCAATGCTCTCATCGCGCGCTGCCCGGTCTGCCGAGCCCGGTAGAGGCCACCGGAAACGGGAGACTATACGCGGCACCGCGCTCGTCGCGCCCCGGGGCGTCTTGCTGGGAGAGGAGGCTGGCGCCCTGAGGCGGCATTTGGTGGCGTGGGGAGTGCGGAACGCTACTGGCGGCGTGACAGGGCCTCTCTCGGTTGCGTGTGCCGCCCATCGGCACGCGGGTGCGCAGACACCGCGCGACTCTGCCCGCTCGCTCGACCCTTTTGCCGCGAGAGGGCGCCGGCCGCGTGTGTAAGAGGTGGCTGGCGCCCTGAGGCGGCATTTGGTGGCGTGGGGAGTGCGGAACGCTACTGGCGGCGTGACAGGGGCTCTCTCGGTTGCGTGTGCCGCCCATCGGCACGCGGGTGCGCAGACACCGCGCGACTCTGCCCGCTCGCTCGACCCTTTTGCCGCGAGAGGGCGCCGGCCGCGTGTAAGAGGTGGCTGGCGCCCTGAGGCTGAGCCCTGAGGCGGCATTTGGTGGGGTCAGCGTGCGATGCTGAGTCTTACCTGTCGGCGCTGGGCCAGATCCCAGCGCAGAACTCTGCAACGCTGGCATACAGACACAACAAGACTAACCCCAACCCCAACCAACCTGGTTTGTGGAGCTCCCACAACTTACACCCTTAGAGGCCGGACCAGAGACCTGAGTCATGCGCGCTCGCCCGGTTTTTCGAAGTGAGTTTTCTCCACAATTCCAGAGCACAGACCGCTCGCCCCCGACACAGGGCGCAATGCTGAGTAAGTACCTTACCGCGGCGGGCTCCACACACTACTCGGCCGAGACGACCCCTCAAGCTCCATCCTTACTCCTCCACCATGTCGGCGAGCGTCGGGGTGGTGCGGAGATGCTGCGCACCGCGCACCGCAATCGAGACTGCGACGGCGGCGGCGACGGCTGCGCTCGCCGTGGCGAGCCCGTCGAGAGCGAGCGGGCCGAGCGCTGCGGCGTCGGGGCCGACGGCCGCCCCGCGGCTGACAGCGAACCTGAGCACGCCAGCGTCAAGGGGTGTGGGGAGGGGGGAAGGAGGGGGGGGGGGGGGGAGAATGGTCCGCAGGGACCTGTTTTCAGCCTGCATCTAGGACGGCGAACAAGGCCCAGCCGACCGCAGCTGCTGCCGAAAGCAGCCCGAGGCGGGCATAGGAGTCGGCGAGCGCTGCGGCGGCGAGGAGGGAGAGGACCTGGCGGGGAGCGAAGGAGGCGCGGTGAGAGGCGCGGAGGGCCGTGTGGGGTGTTACCACACTCCCCCACTGCTACCGGAGGAGGGGGTGCGCCACCGCGGCGGCGAAGCAGCGAGCGGCGCCGAGAGAAGCGGATCCCGCCCAAGCGTTGACGTTGACGAGGGCGGCCGCCGTCACCCATCCCGCGTGCCTGCTCGCAATGTCAGACGCGTGAAGAGACGCCCTTCACACTCACAGCTGCCCTCGCCCGGCTGGGCGTGCAGCGATCGCGGAACGGAGACCAGGGCGCCAAGCGGCCCGCGCAGCGCTGGCGCGGCCTGCAGGTGCGAGAGGGGGGCGGCTGTGCGTGGCAGAGCGAGGGAGTGGCTGCCGTCACCTGCACAGCGTAGCAGGCATGGGAGAAGTGTTGTGCCCCTGCGGCCTCCACTCTGCTGTGGTGACGGGCTGCGGATAGGCGGAGGGACTGGCGTGCTGTGCAGTGGCGGAGTGCCAGGTGGCGAGAAGACGGCCCGGCGTCAGCGTCTGCGTGTGCGGAGCGTCAATCTGTTGTGTGTGCCGTCCGCTGCGAGACGACGAGGCACGCGGCGGTAGCCGCGAGGCAGGCCGAGGAGAGCCAGAGCCGAGAGAGCGCCCACGGCCGAAAGGCGGCACACCACAGGGCCTGGGCGCAGTTTGCGCTCAGCCACGCGGGAGCCGCGGGGGCTGCGGCTCGCGCCGCCTCGCGGTTGACGGCGAGCGCGAGGACGCCGGCGGCTTCTCCGAGGTAGATGACGCCCCAGATGGCAAAGGCGAAGCCTGACAGCGGGCCTCCAGGTGTGTCGGGCTGCAACGAGTGAGCGCTGCCGTTGTGATATGGGGCGAGTGCTGCCTGCCGGATTGAAGAGCGTCGGCCAGGGAGACCGGACCAGCACGTCTGCGTCTGAGTCGAATCGGCCGGGGAGAGCAACGCTGACGACGCTGACGATCAGCCCGCCGATCTGTAGCCCGAGCCCGCCCTTGCCGGGAGCCGGAGTGTTGCGGAGAGCAGCTGTGACGCAAGCAGCAGCGCCACAGAAAATCAGCGCGGCGGCGAACCCAGAGGCGACAGGCGGCGGCGGAGGAGGCGGTGTGGGCGGAGGGCGGGCGAAGAAGAGCATGAATTGACGCTCTCAGAGCCGGTTGAATCGGGAGAAGCTGGCGAAAATTTTGAGCAGGTGTTGAGCGACGCGCTCGCCAGTGGCGGAGGTCCTCGGGCCAGTTTCGGGGGGCAAACCCTGCCCGCCCCCTAGGACCCCGGGTAAGGCCCAGGTGTGGCCTAGGGCATCAGAAGGGACCAAGAGGAGTCCAGTCTGAGCCATAGAGCCCATGTCTTTGCCCCCGAAGGTCGCGTTCAAATGCCCGGAACGGACGTTACAGTGGTGTCCGGCTGGCGCGATCACCGAGCTGTGACGCTCAGGGAAGCCTGATGAGGTACTGGTTTCTTTGCCCAGGGCTGGCCTTCCCCCCAGGCTGGATCAGCTGAGCAAGGTTTGGGGAGAATCCTATATTGGGATCTTCAGATATTTTGACGGATGGCCGAAAATGGGCAAAAACGGGATGATTCTCCCAGCGCGCTGGAGCGTGCGCCGCTTCTTAGCTCCCCGGCCCTCTGGGTGGTGAGGTTAATGAGACTCCGCACTCCAAGAGTGCTCGCCAAGTGCGCAAGTCGAGTGTGACTCACACAGTGTGCAGAGCCGGCTACTAGATAGTGCTCCATCCAAGTACGGCTGCGCGTTCGGGGGGGGGGAGGGGCAAGAGAGTGCTACTAGATAGTGCTCCAAGTAAACAACGCAAGAGAGTGCAGCCAGGAGCAGGAGAGAGAGATTTTTGAAGACCAACAACTCAAGGAGAGTGGCAGGACCAGGACTGAGCCCTGGCCTCGACACCTCGACACCAAACCTCGACACCGACTCGACACCTCGACAACCCATGCCAACTCGACAAACTCGACACCCCTCGACACCCCTCGACACCCCTCGACACCATCTAGGCTGAAACCATGCTCGTCCGTGTCAAGGTGCCAAACTCGACACCTCGACACCCCTCGACACCCCTCGACACCCCTCGACACCGCTCGACACCGCTCGACACCGCTCGACACCGCTCGACACCTCTGATGATCCTAACACAGCAGAGACGTAGACCCATTGGAGTCACAGAGTTAGAAATCAGGGTTGCAGCAGCAATCAAACTTGGCTGGCAGTACTTTCATCCCTGAGTTGCAGCCTCTCAAGTTCTAGCTCAAGTTGCAGCTCAGTTGCACCCCTGTTGATGCAGCAAACATGGCAGTACTCAGGTAGCCCTAAGGTGCTGCACAGCACCTTGTACAGTGGCAATGAATCCTCACACCAGTGAGCTTGTGCCATGAGTGCAGACCTGTGGTCCATTGCGCTTTGTGCACTGGCGACGCTGCAACGGCGACGCTGCAGCGGCGGCGACGCTGCTGCGATGGGGTACTGTAGCCCTTAGCTGCTGGACAGCACCTTGTGCAGTGGCAATGTCCACTGACTCATGCTCTCATGGCACCAGCCTTGTGCCATGAGCGCTGTGGTCAGTTGCGCTTTGTGCGCCGGTGACGCTGCAGCAGCGACGCTGCAGCGACGCTGCTGCGGTGCTGCGCCTGCACAGCACCTTGGTGCACAGTGGCAATGACTCCCGGCACTTGATGTCCTCAAATGTCCACAGAGAGTATACTGGTTGTGCTCAGGTTGTGCTACATCAACAGGGTGCAACTGAGGCTGCAACTAAGGGATGAAACAGCTTTGCAACTGCTGCCCAACTTTTGTTGTATGTTGATGGGCTGCAACTGCATCCACCTGCCACCTTGGACACCTCGATACCTCAGACGCCTCTTGACAACACTCGACACCCGCTCGACACCCGCTCGACACCCTCGACACCCTCGACACCCTCGACACCCTCGACACCCCTCGACACCCCTCGACACTCCTCGACACGGACAAGCATGGTTTCAGCCTCGACAGGCCTCGACAGGCCTCGACAGGCCTCGACAGGCCTCGACAGGCCTCGACACCTCTATCCCTCGACAGCAGCTCGACACCCTCGACACCGGGCCTCGACACCTCGACACCAGGGCTCAGGACCAGGAATGACGGAGGGGCTTTTTCCATATCCGTCATTGAGCCCCCACTTACTTCCTCCCCGTCCCCCCCTTGCGTTGTTTGTTTTCTTTCTTTTTACTTTAACCAAGATTCCCATCACGGACCACGCTTGCGTGGATAATACCTCGCTGCACGCTGGAATCTGTGGCAGAATTAAACATGCATGCGTTTCCCCCCAGGCGCCAAGGCCCGGGAGTCTCTCGTCCGATGAGCGATGTTGGTGCAGCCTCCTCTGCGCGTTTCAGTCCTCGACGCGCCTCTGCGCTTCGCCAAGCGCCGTCCGCAGCGCGGCGCCCTCCTCCGCCAGCGCCGCCAGCCTGCCGCACACCGCCTTTCGCCGCGCGCGCGCTTCGCCCCTCTTCGCCTCGTCGAGCCCTTCCAGCCCGTCGAGTCCATCCACCTCCACCTGCGGTGGAACAGGACTCCGTCCATTACTAGACAGCCGGGCATGCGCGCGCGACCGCCTCGACCTGCAGCGCGGCCAGCGAGGCGAGCGCGGAGGAGGCCTTGCGGTGGACGCACTCCACCGCGTCCGCCGCCTAGCGACGCACCAGCTGGACTCTCACTGACGGCTCTGCGGGTGCACGCCGCACGGCACACCCGGCCGCCGCCTCGACGTCGTCCAAGTCGACCCGGGCGAGGGAGGAGGACAGACCTCCGAGCGCCACGCCTGCAGAGTCGGTCCTCCGCTCCAGTGCGAGCAGCCGCTCCCCGACCGGCACAGCGTCGCCCGCCTCGGCGCTGCTTGGGCTGCAATCGGGCGCGGCAGCGGGCGGGCCAGCATCGCCGCTGCCGATCAGAGAGAGGTTGGCCCGCTTGAGGTTGACCAGCTGGCCGCCCTCCCCGCGCAGCTGGTACCGCTGCTTCTCCTCCAACCACGATACCACCTCGCCCCGCGTCCCGTTGAGCGCGCGGCCCGCCTCGGAGGCGAGTCCTTGCACCAGCACAGCGCTCCCGGGCGGCAGCGGCTCGCAGGCCACGTCGGCGTCACCGCCGCCGCCGGCCGCCTCGCGCGCGAGCCTCGCCGCCCGGCGCTGCTCCTTGATCCGCTCGAGGTCCGTCTTCCCGTCCAGCTCGACGTAGCCTCCCTCCGGAGGCCGCGGCGGCTCCCGCGCCGACGCCTCGGCGCGACCACCGTCAAACGGGCCGCCGAATGGGCCGCCGAATGGGCCGTCGGGCAGCGTCTGCGAGAGGCCCTGCGGAGGGGCGGCCGCCGCGGGAGGCGGCTTGAGCTCGACGTCCACGTCGACCGCCTCTCGCGCCAGAAGCACGATGCCGCTGCCGAGGCCGTGGTCGCCGAGCGGGACGCCATCCACCTCAACGCTCGCCACGTCCGCCGGTGTCGGCAGCCGCCCCGCGTACAGGCCCGCCTTCTTCGAGTAGGCCTTGAGGAAGGGCGCAAGCACCGCGTCCACAAAGGGCCGCTTGAGCATCTTGCTAGTGAGCGTGAGCTTGAGCGTGACGTCGCCGCAGCTCACGAGGCAGGTGCGTGATCGCTCCTCCATGTGGCCTTGGGGTTGTGCGGCCCGACCCTGCAGTCGGCCCCGTGGGCGCGATTTACCGCTACCGTTCACAGCCTTGTTATGAGAAGAAAATACGTCCCATGGCGCTATGCGCTGGTCTGTGAGAGGTTGAGGTGCGAGCCCTGGAGGCCCTGGGGATGGGGGGAGACTACCCGCGGGCCTAGAAGGCCCGCGCGCATTGGGCTCAACCAGGTTTTCCGGAAAACAAAAAGGAAAACAGAGGGTCCCCACGTTGGCCTTTGTGTGTTTTTCTTCATATTCTATATTCTTTTTCGAAGCGGTTTTCAGCTATTTTCAGCCAGAATATAAAGAATATTCGAGAATATATTCGAGAATATAGACCCTATTTGGAGCTATATTCTTGCCATATTCGAGAATATGTATGTATTTTAGGGATCGCGAATGTTGGACGGAGGGTGGACGCGTCCAGAGGGGGGGTCAGGGGGGTACGGCAGTTTTGGATTTTGCATCTCGGCTGCATCCAATGGCGTGAGAGATGGGCGGCCCCGAATCACGGACACGTCGGCGAGGACAGCGACGGCGTCGTTGGTGGAGCGCAGGGGCGAGGGCGTCGACCGACGGGCGGCGCACCAGGACTCCAGGAGGTCGCGGAACGACGGGTCGAGCCCCTCCGCCAATCGAGGCGGCGGTCGAGACGGTGAGCGGCTGACGTCCTCGCGGGTGGCGCGGAGTACGGCCGACACTACGTGCTGCGGCAGCCCGCGGAGCCGCAGGAGGCGCGGCGGAGCGGCTGCGCGTGGACGCGACGGCGAGGCTGGCCGGGCACGCTGTCATCGAGATAGGCACGCACGTCGAGATCCTAGGCGAGCAGGGGTGGTGGCCGGCCACCATCACGTGGCGGGAGGTAGGTTCGGGCGGCCGGCTCGTGTGGATGCGGTCGAGTACGACGGCTACCCGGACGCCGAGCCTCTCCTCTCCTTAGAGGAAGAGACGTGGAGGCAGGTGACGCTCGGCGCCGGCAGCGCGGCCCCTAATACCAGCGGCGAGGCGAGCGACGGCGAGAAGAGCGACGGCGAGACTGGGGACGCGCTGCCGTCCATATTGTAGAGACAGACCGTATGCACAATATCTCTCAGTCTAGCTAAGCCTGGGAAGGCGATGCCGGGGCCGTACAGCAGCTTGATTCCAGCACAGTCCTTGCGCGCGGTAGACACTATTTTGGACAAGAATACGGAAAGAATACGCAAAAAGAATAGAGATAGTCTATGCAGAGAACAGCGCACAAAGGCCAAGTCCCCAGCACTTTGGTCTTTGCGTTTCCGGAAAATTCCAGGGAAAACAGAGGGTGTTTGGTGCTCCATTCTGGAAACTCGCGAGTTTCCCTGAGTCTGAGAGAGAGATTTTAGAAAACCAACAAGAAATCACGACTCTCACAGTGATTTGGGCTCGGCAGCTTGTGCCTTGTCAGCCCTCAGCCGAAGCTGGGGCCGGTCCCGTAGCCGAGAGAGCCCGCGCCGATGAGTTCGACGCGGTCGGGGGGGCCTGCGGAGAGGCCAGCGAGATGGCGATCGCTGTACTTCATGGTGTCATCAAGTGACTGGCTGACTCGCCAGAGGTCGATACTCTGGACGCTGAGCCCTGGCTGTCAGGCTGTCAGGTGCTGTCAGGTGATCTGTCGGGCTGTCGGGCAGCTGTCAGGCACTGTCCGGGGTTTGCTGTCAGGCTGTCAGACCAGGGCTCAGTCTGGACGACCCATAGGATGCCACGAATGCCTGAAGGGGAGGGAGGCGAGGCCAGAGGCAGGCTCAGCTGCTCTCGGGTGATCTCACTTTGGTGGCTGAAGGACCCGATGGTCCTGTCACATTCGCGTTCCGAGTCGTGGGGGTAGAAGAATTCGAGGTAGAATCGAGTCAGCACTTCCTTGTAGTACAGCGGACCGCCAGGCTCGCCGGCCATCCGCAGGGAGGCAGCATATGAGGCACCAGTCTTCTGAAGAGCTCAACAGCTGCTGGTAGAGTCGGCCGCGGTTCGAGCGAGCAGCTTTTGGCTGCGGGATCGAATCGCGGAAGGCTCATGCCCTCGCGGAGCGACGCGGGTCGCGCGGCGCGCGCGTGTGCGAAATGCGACAACAGACGACAGATGACAGACGCCTGAGCGCTGTACGACTGAACGACCGTCGCCGCAATCGCCACCGCCGCCATTTTGACGAGCAGCGCGAGCGCGCTCGTCGGCGGCCAGCCGTCGCGGGCCGGGCCGAGCCCGGCCTCGACCGGCCGCGCCGCCGCAGCAGGCCGGGAGGCCCGAATGGCGGCCGACCAGCTGATAAGGACTTTCTCTTGAGTCTGAGAGCTGGTCTGGGGCAAAATCTGAGGCAAAATTGAGGAAATCGAGAAAATACCCAGGCGGTCGCAGGGTAATTTCCAGGTATACACGGGTTCTCCGCGAAATTCCCGGCATTTTGCCGATTTGGCCTAAAATTTGGCTGATTTCGGGCCCAAACCAGCCTCAGACTCGGCTCAGAGCCAAAAATTTGACGATTTCCACGCAGTTTTCCCCGTGAAAATAGAGAGGAAAAGAGAGGGTGCTGTAGAGAAAAAAGGAAAGGAAAACAGACGGGGTGCGAGAGGCAAACCTGGTTGAGCCCAACGCGCGCAGGGGGGGGTGGGGCATTGTCCATTGAGACCGGTCATGAATTAGTTGAGACCGGCTGCTTGAATTAGTTTTTTTTGAGCCTGTTTGAACGCTGCGGATGTGCAGCTACGGCCGCATACGACTGAGCCGCAGGCGCGGCGGCTGGCGCGGCGGCTGGCGCGGCGGTGGCGCACGTGCCCGCGCGCTCGCGCTCTGCGCGCTCCAGCTCCCGCGTGTACTCGGACTTCAGTCAGGTTGATCTGCCTGTCGAGACCTAAAAAGAAAGAAAACACACAAACAACCCAAGGGAGGGATGGGAGGACGGCACGCCGCCACCACACAGGGATTTTAAGGAGAGGGGTGTGATGCGCTAGCCGTCACCCACCCTTGGGCGTCCGCCTCTTCCTATCTCCCTTCGCAGTCTCTCGCCGATTCTTTCTCGCTGCAAGAATTCCGCTGCAACCTTCATGCCACCTCGCGGTCGTCCCACTCTCGTCGTTCTCTCCCTTGTCGCTTCTTCCTCTGTAGCGTCGCTCTCCTCTGCCTCGTCCTGCGACGCCGCCGCCGCCTGCCGGTCCCTGTCGAGACCTAGCATCGTGCGAGTGAGACGGGTCGTGTGGATTTGCGAATTCTCCCTCCATTTTGCCGCCGCCAAAGACCGCAACGAAAACCGCTGCTTGCCATCACAGTCGCCCGACATGGAAGGCGTCCTCGAGGAGATTGACGCCATGCTGGGCGAGCAGCAGTCGGTTTCGGCGCGGTGGTACGCCCGCCGCGCCGACCTGCCCGTCGACGAGGCGCGCGCGCTGCTCAAGAGCTACTTGAGCGCGCGCGCTGGCAGCGCGAGCGGCGTCTTTCTGGTCTCCGGCGAGGCCGCCTCGGGCGGGCGTGTCGTGCGGCTGGCGGAGGCGGACGAGCTCGAGCGGACGCGCGCCGGCTTCGCCTCCGTCACCACGGAGCAGCTCTACTCGGTGCACGCGCCGGCGCTCGCGTCCGACGCCTCCCGCAAGTACGAGCCGCTCGCGTCGCTCGCCGCGGCGCAGGACGCGCAGCTGTACGAGGAGGTGCGCCAGCATGCCCCACCTCGCCCCCGGCGCGGAGCCGTGCCCGCTGGAAGCCGCGCCACTCAGCCCCGCGCCGCCCCCGCGCGCCCTCCTCCTGCAGCTCCAGGCGAGCGGCGAGACCAATTGCCTGCTCGACAACCGCTGGGCGGCGATCCGGTGCGCGAGAATGGAGATTGGGCGGGGGCACGCTCGCGCAGCGCACACCAGGGAGAGGGGGGCCGTGTGCGCGGGTCCAGCACGCGCACGCGACAAGACAGCCGACTCGACCGCGACTCGACACGATCCCAAAGGCCTGCTCACTAACCGCCCGGGCCCCGGCAAACGGCTGCGAACCCAGGTGCGAGGGGGCGACGATCTCGTCGCGGGGCGCGGTCGGACGGCTGCGCGCAGTCGCCCCTCCGCCCGCGAGCGCGGCGCCCAAGCCGCGCCCCGCCGCCAAGCCGGCCTCCGCCCCGCCGCCGCCAAAGATCCCAAAGGCTGCGGCGGCCATGTTTGCCGCAAAGCCGCCCTCCAAGCCGAAGGCCGCGCCGGCGGACAAGCCTTCTGAGTCGGCCCCCGCCCCGGCGGCGGCGGAGGCGGAGCCGCCCTCGCAGGGCGGCAAGAAGCGGCGCGCCGTCCCCCGCCAGCGCCGACCCTGCCACACTCCATGACGTCCAGCTGACGTGTCGCCCAGGCGCGCCGTCGTCGACAGCGACGAGGAGGAGGAGGAGGAGAGGCCAGCCAAGGCGCAGGCGCCGGCGGCCGCCGCCAAGCCCGCCGCCGCACCCGCGCCCGCAGCGCCCGCCGCCGCCGCTTCAGCGCCCGCCGCCGCCAAGCCGAAGCCAAAGGGCGGCATGGCGGGCTTCTTCAAGCCCGCCGCGCCGCCGGCTGCGGCGAAGAAGGGGGAGGAGGCGAAGAAGGGGGAGGGCAAGAAGGTGGGCGGCTGCTCGCGAGGCGAGGCGAGGCCCTCCACTGCCGAGAAGATGGATAAGGCGGAGGAGTCTGCGCCAGAGGAGCAGGCGGGGCAGCAGGCAGCGACAGGGCAGCAGGCAGCGACAGGGCAGCAGGCAGCGACAGGGCAGCAGGCAGCGACGGGCGGCGGCGCGGGCGGTGTGGGCGGCGCTTCCTCCTCGGAGGACGGCTCGGAGGACGGCCCGCCGTCGAGTGCCGCCGGGGAGGCGGAGGGGGCGGGGAAGGGTGCGGAGGAGAAGGCGTCTCTGCTGCGCGAGGAGCTGGGAGGGATGAAGCCGTCGGCGCTCAAGAAGCGCGCCAAGGAGGCTGGCGTGGAGGAGAGCAAGCTCGACGAGGCGGACGACGCGGACGACGTCAAGGCGAAACTCCTCGAGGCCCCTCGAGCCCGCGGCTTTCTTTGTATGACTGGCAGAACTTGTCTTCGTTAGGCGACGCTCATCGACCTCATCGTCGACAAGGTGTGCCGCGAGCGGCGGGAGGAGGCGGCGGAGGAGGCGGAGGAGGAAACGGAGGAGGAGGTGGCAGAGGCTGCGGCGCGGCGCAAGGAGGAGCGGCGCAAGGCGCAGATGAGCCGGAATACGCCGAGATGAGCCGAGATACGCCGAGCCCCCGGGAGATGAGAGAGGAAGGAGGGGCGACGCAAGGCGCGCGGCCCTGTCGAGACACGCCGCAGCGCTGCACGCGTCCCGGACACGTCCCCGACACACGCCCCCGACACAGGTCCCTGACCCCCCCCCCCCCCCTCCCCCGCCCTTTAGGCTCGCATCCTCGAGGACGCAGCTTCGCTTGTGGACGATCCGGCCGAGCTGGTGGCACCAGCCGCCCGCCGAGGCCCCCGCTGGACAGCGTCTCTTCACACGCCTAGCTGTGAACAGGTGCACCCGCACCCGCCCGCCGAGGGCGCGAAGACGCCGCCGCCGGTCGCGGCTGCCGAGGAGGAGGCTGCGCCGACCCGCACCCGCACCGTGACCGTCAAGGAGCGCGTGCGTGAGGAGGTTGCCTGCACCCCTGCCCCTGCCCCAACCCCTGACCCATCCCTCACCCCCCCCACCCTCACCCCCCACCCTCACCCTCACCCTCACCCCCACCCTCACCCTCACCCCCACCTCACCCTCACCCCCACC